CGGTCTTTCCTGCCCGGGCTGGCTTTGAACCGCGATCCTCAGATCTCAGCCTCCTGAGTAGCTAGGATTACAGGTGTGAGCCACCAGCGCCCGGCTACTACTTTTTTTTTAATACAAAATAAAGACTAGCAGAAAAGTAATGCTTCTTTATTGGTCCCTCTACAAAACAGCGAGAAAGGGAATAACATCTTAAGATGTCAGTAAAGACCTCACATACCAACTTCATTTGACCATCTGTACCTTGGATGTTTGTGCAACATTAGAATGCGAAGACGATCTTTAGCCTCTTCAATATTAAGTGGGAGCCTCTGGGAAAAAGTCCCATCCTGATCCAACCGTGTACAAAGATTCTGCAGTTTCATCAGAAGCCCAGATTTGTCTTGTTTTCCAATTGAAACCCAATGTACACCTCCTGGGAAACAACCTAATGAGGAAAAGAATCATAAACTTAAGGCCTTTGAACATGAGGTCTCTTTTGCATTGTTTTGCTCTTAAAACATCTTGAAATAATCTGGGCACTGGTGGCTCATGCCTATAATCCTATCTACTCTGGAGGCTGAGATCTGAGGATCACAGTTTGAAATCAGCCCAGGCAAGAAAGTCCCTGAGACTCTTACCTCCAATTAATCACTAGAAAACCAGAAGTGGAGCTGTATGTAGCTTAAGTGGTAGAACGCTAACCTTGAACAAGAGCTCAAGGAAAGCATCCAGGCCCTGAGTTCAAGACCACTACCAAAAAAAAAATCTTGAAAGAGTATTTTTATTGATATATGTATCAGGAGCCAAATATTTTAAGTCTTCCTAAACTATACTTACTCAGGCCTTTTTTGTGGGTTTTTGTTTTGTTTTGCCCATCCTAGGGCTTGAACTCAGGGCCTGGATGCTGTCCCTGGGCCTCTTTGTGCTCATGGCTAGTGCTCTACAACTTCAGCCACAAAGCCACTTCTGGCTTTTTTGTGCAGTTTATTGGAGGTAGTCTCATGGGTACTTTTCTGCCCGGGCTTGCTTTGAACCGCCAGATCTCAGATCTCACATCTTAGCCTCTTGAATAGCCGGGATTACAGGTTTGAGTCACCAGTGCCCAGTTACTTATTCAGTTAAAAAAAAAAATTAAAACCAGGTACCAATGGCTCATTTCTGTAATCCTTACTACTTAGGAGGCTGAGACCTAGAGGACTGCTGTTTCAATCTAGTCTAGGCAGAAAACTGGAGAATATCTCCAATCAACCAGCCAAGTTCTGGACTGATAAGTATTGGATCAAGGGGTAGAGTAACAGCCATGAGCAAACAAGCAAGCTGACTAAACCTAGGGCCCAAACACCAATACAGACACAATAAATAAATAAGCAAATAAATAAACATTCACATACATAAACACAAACATCAGAATCACTCCAATCTTAACTTTTATTATGTCTTCACCTTCTTTTGATTCAAGTCATAATGATTCAAGTCATAATTATGATAAATTATTATTGAGTTATAAATGTTAAATCTAAGGGAAACTGGAGATCTGAAATCTGGATTAAAACTGAAGCATAGGGGGCTGGGGGCTGGGAAGGTGGCTCAGTGGTAGAGCACTTGCCTTGCATGCTTGAGGCCCTGGGTTCGATTCCCCAGCACCACATAAGCAAAAAGAAAAAAAGCCGGAAGTGGTGCAGTGGTGCTGTGTCTCAAGCGGTAGAGTGCTAGCCTTGAGCTGAAGAGCTGAGGGACAGCGCCCAGGCCCAAGAGTTCAGGCTCCAGAGTTCAGGCTCCATGACCGGACCCAAAAAAAAAAAAACTGAAGCATAGAAGAAAAATATTCCAAAAGCAAAATTTCTCAATCTGTTCTTTGTCATTAATGATCACTGCACAGCACCATCTTTCAACCTCAGCACTCTTGACATTTTGAGGCAGAATAGTTCTTTGTTCTGAGAGATTGTCTCATGCATTACACAGAGGCCTCCCTGGCCTCTATCCTCCGGAGTGTCAGTAGAGTTTCCTCCTAAGGAGTATTGACAATCAAAAATACCTCTAAACATTGCCAAATGCTCCTGGGGACAAAATCATTCCAAATGAGAATAACTGATGTCCAGGAATATATAACTTACTCATTATGGTTCTTATTCTTAGTTAAATGCAAGTTAGATCTACAACTTACCAGCTATGCAATTTTTAGTAATATAATCTCAGTCACATTTGTTATATTGAAATAAAGACTATTCCATTTTTTTCAGAGTTGCTGTGAGAAAATAATATAAAGCACGTGAAATTGCTATGCTAATTGTAAAAGGTTATAATAGAATTATTAGTGTTATGTGTCTGTATCCTATATTAAGCTTTGAACTTGTATACACTTATAAAACAGCCATTATCATTGTTACTCTCAGCATTATTAATCAAACCACATATATCTTTCTTTTAATTTTTTATTGTTATTATAAAGGTCATGTACAAAAGGGTTACAGTTACATAAATCATGAAAAGAATGCATTTCTTTTTGGACAATGTCACTCCTTACTTCACTCTCTCCCAGATCACAATATATCTTACAATATGTATTTTTCATTTACATATATATCAGGTGCCAAAAATATAAATTCTTCATACACTACACCTGACAATTCCACATTGGTTTATACACTGAAATACATACACTAGAAGAGAACTCTACAATAAGTGAAGACAGGGCTGTCAAGTCTGGTTTGATCATTAGGGCTACTATTTCAGAAGACAGTACACAGAAGTCATGTCACTTTACCTAAAAGCTTCCGCAAGTTCCCTCAGATCTCCCTCAGTACATATCAACAGTTATGAAAAGGCAAGTTCTAATAGTGTCACTTAGCTAGCTGTGTTCTGTGTATATGCATACAAATGCAAAGAAACAGGTTGAAAAGATAATCCAGTTTTCCATCCAAGATTATCTTTGGGGTGAATCTTAAAATTTAGGAGAAAGGGGATACTGACAAGTACAAAGAATTTTTTCCTTTTTTTTTTTTGGTGCCAGCACTAAGGTTGAACTCAGTACCTCATCTCTTATTCAGCTGTTTCCATTTATGGCTGGCATGCTACCACTTGTGTCATGTCTCCAATTTCTTACTTTTTTTTAAACATAGGGTCTCATTACTATATTAAGGCTTATTTCAAACTCACAATCCTGCCAGCCTCAGTCCTGGGTGCTGAGATTGTAAACATGCACACCATGATTGCTAACATTTTAATTTAAGCACCAATTACCTAGGTTAAAGGTTTTCCCTAACTTCAAAGCTAAAAGCTAAAATAAATAAATCAATCCAAAACACTAGAGTATTACAAGAAAAAAAAATTACTAGCTTTCAAAAGCTAGACAAACAAACCAAGTGACCAACTGATCTAAAAATCCCTGCCACCACAATAAAACATTTAGTTAAATACTGACGTACTATTTACAATTTCAGAGAGAATCTAAACATCTTGACAATGGGCACAAGAGGGAGCAATTTAGCTTTGAATGAGGCTTGTGCTTATAATTTATTCAGAGAAGTTTATTTAGAGGAAAATCGCATTTATTTAGAAAAAGCAAACCTCATCCTGCTTTCATATGAGGTTTTTCTTGGTAACAACTAAAAGACTAATTGCATCTCAAAAAATCTTTGAAATAAACAGAAGCAAATAGGCAGCTGATAGTGAAAGCATCCAAGTTTTAAAATTCAGCATATGAAAAAACAATATAAATAGTTTCAAGGTATGGCAACAATTTCCATACTCTAAGAAAAACTATAACTTCCGAAAGAAAATTGAGTCACTTAAAAAGTAATCCTAGTACTTGGGCACTGAAGTAATATTGCAAGCTCAAAGCCAACCTCAGCTATATATAGAATTTGAAGGCAACCTACAATACATGTGATCCTATCTCAAAAAAAAAAAAAAATATAAGCAGAAGTAGCTAGAAACTTAATATTCTCTTATTTATATCAACCACCACCCTAAGATAACAAAAGATCTGACTTTAAGCAACAATTCTCAGATCTTAGCCTCTTGAGTAGCTAGGATTATAGGTGTGCATTATTCAGGAAGCTGAGATCTGATGATCATGTTTGAAGTCAATCCTGGTCAGTAAAGTCCATGAGACTTTTATCTCCAATTACCACCAAAAAGCCCAAAGTGGAACTGTGGCTCAAGTGGGTAGAGTGCTGGTCTTGAGAATAAAAGGGACAGTGCCTAGACCCTAAGGTCAATCACCAATACTAGCACAAAAAGGAAGAAAAAAAGGGCACGGGGAAAGGGAAAGAAAAGAAGTAATTTAAATTAATACAAGTTGCTACACAGGAGAATCACCCACTGAGAAAGTCATTAATGGAATTGAATTTCCAAGTACCTCTTTATTGCACTGTATGCTAAAACAAACACTCAGCTAACAAGATGGGTTAAGTCTATTCCTGTTTATTGTTTCTTTGGGCCAGTCCTGGGGTCTGAACTCAGGGTTAACACTGTACTTGAACTTTTGTACTCAAGACCAGTAATTTACCACTTTGAGCCACAGCCCCACTTCCATCTTTTCAGCAGTTAATTGGAGATAAGTCTCACGAACTTTCCTGCCTAAGCTGGCTGTGAACCACGATCCTCAGATCTCAGCTTCCTGAGTAACTAGGATTACAGGCATAAGCCACCAGCAGTTAAATATGTTTTACACCAAATGCTAAATTTGTGGCACTTTATTATTAACAACAACAGGAAGTCAAGACAATTCTTAAAGAATTATCTCCTTAGCCAGCAACACACTGTGGTCAAAACTTACCTTCTAAGAGGGAATGATCTCGAACAGCTTCTGCAGCTAATACAGACTTTCCACAGCCTGCCATTCCATATATTGTGACCCATCCTGATTCACCATTCAATTTGGAGAGCTTCTGCTGAATTGCATTCACCAGCTTCTTCCTAGTAACAAAGACAACTGGCCTCTGTGGTACTCCACCTTCACATAGCACTGTTCTTACTGAAATCAAAACAAGCATGAAGTGACTACTAAGTGATGTCACTAAAATCTCAAAGGGAAAGGTTGAGGCTTTAGGCTTAAAATTTCCAGGAAAAGTAAGAAAATGTGGATACGGTATTAACTTCAACCTTCTGATTTCTTGAAACAGAGAACAAAAGCAAACACATATTTCAAGAATTCAACAAACGGGCTGAGAAGGTAGCTCAGTGGTAGAGCGCTTGCCTTGCATGCGTGAAGCCCTGGGTTCAATTCCTCAGTACCACATAAGCAAAAAGAAAAAAAAGCCGGAAGTGGGGCTGTGGCTCAAGTGGTAGAGCGCTAGCCTTGAGCTGAAGAACTGAGGGACAGAACCCAGGCCCAGAGTTCAGGCCCCACGACCGGACCAAAAAAAAAAAGAATTCAACAAAGGCACCAGTGGCTCAAACCTGTAATTCTAGCTACTCAGGAGGCTGAGACCTGAGGATCATGGTTGGAAGCCAGCCCAGGCAGGAAAGTCCATGAGACTCTTATCTTCAATAGACTACCCAGAAAAAGCTGGAAGTGGCACTGTGGCAAGTGGTAAAGCACTAGCTCAGGGACAGAGTCCAGGCCCTGAGTTCAAGCCCCAGGACTGGCAAAAAAAAGAATACAGATTTCTAAAGATTCTTATTCTATACTATAAGCAGCATAAACACATGGAACCAGACCAGGAAATTAATAAAGTTTTTACAGACAATATTATGTCTGAAAGCTAGAGTGTACATGCTGTTATCTTAGCAATAAATAACCCACTAAGTCAGAAGAAAATGTGTTTACTAAATATTTAAATTGAAATTATCACTATAATTTTTCAGTGAACCGATTACATTTACATTTACTTCAGAATATTAAACCTACTACAATCAGACACAGCTGCAATAATGCAACAACCAGCATAATAGCAATGGGACAGAAGTCTCAAGGATACAAACCATATGAAGTTATTCCACCATTTGAGTCTTTGACACTGGAAGACGAAATAACAGGAATGCCACTATGGAGAAGGGCAGCGAGGTCTTTATATCCTTCATGTAGAAGTGCATTGTAAAATGATATGTAGGCATAATTATCCTTTTTAAGTATCATTTTCATGAGAACAGCTGCTCGTTGAAGTTTGGTAGGCTAAAAAAATAATAAAGTAGTTTAGTATACAGTAGCAAATATGTTTGCAACATTTTTTTTCTTTTTTTTTGTCGGTTGGTCAGTCATGGGGCTTGAACTTTGGGCCTGGGCACTGTCCCTGACCTCCTTAGCTCAAGGCAAGTGCTCCTACCACTTACCACTTGAGCTACAGCACCACTTTTGGTTTTCTGGGGGCTAATTGGAGATAAGAATCTCAAGAAGACTTTCCTGCCCAAGCTGGCTTTGAACTGCTATCCTCAGATCTCAACCTCCTGAGTAGCTAGGATTACAGGTGTAAACCACCAGCACCTAGATTGCAACATTAATTAGTAGAGACCAATCCAAATTCTGAAATTCTAACAGCGTTTAAGAAAGCAGATTGTTTTAGAGAGTTTTACCTGATTTTTCACTTCCTCCTCCTCTGATATTGCTAAAACTCCATCACTAATCATGTGATCCATGATGTAGGATGTCTTGATATCCTTCTCCAGAGCTTCTTTATGTTGAAGCAAACAATTTCGAGCTTTTGCATCCATCCTCCCTCCAATTCTCTCTCTGAGCTGTCAATCATGAGCTACAGGAAAAATACCAAGGTATTTGTCAGGACAAACTGCCAAGAAAACAAGGGGGTTTTTTTGTTTTGTTTTGCTTTTGTCTGCTAAAATAGAGAAGAAACATTCAAAGATGTAAACATGTGGGGGAGGGGGATTGGGAGGGAAAAAAAACTGGGAGAAAATGAGGGAAAAAGTGACACTGTTCAAAAAGAAATGTACTCATTATCTAATTTACATAACTGTAATCCCTCTGCACATCACCTTTACAATAACAAATAAATAAAACCCAGGGAAAAAAGGAAGGTGTGAGGAAACAGTCATTCTTAAATATTATTTTAAAGAGAGAGTACAAAATGGGTGTCACTCTTCTAGAAGGCCGTATAGATATGTTCAAAGTGTTTAACTATTTTCTTTAACCCAGAAATCCTGCTTCTAGGAATCTACCTTCAGGAAAGAATCACATATATAGAGAAAAAAAAAAAAATCCACAAAGTAACTTAACAAAGCAGTGTCAAACTTGGGCACCGGTAATTCACTGCTGTCATTTCTAGCTACATGGAAAAATCAAATAGGGATATCAATAGTTTCAGACCAGCACATGTAACACAAATTGCAAGACCCCATCTCAACAGAAAAAGCTATATGGCACCTGTCACCTTAGCTATGGTAGAAAGCATAAACAGAAGAATGGTATAGTCCAGACCAGCCCTTTCAGGTATTCTAATAAACCTTTGTTTTTCCTATTCTCTTGTTTCACTAATTTTTTTAACCCACCTTATTACAAAAAGACAAAAAATAATGAAGTCAGGTGGCTCACCCCTGTAATCCTAACTACTCAGGAAGCTGAGATCTGAGGATCGTGGTTCAAAGCTAGCCAGGCCAGGAAAGTCCATGAGACTCCTATCTCCAATTAACCACCAGAAAACAGAAAGTGGCACTATGGCTTAAGTGGCAGAGCCTTAGCCTTGAGCTGAAGAGCTCAGGGACAGCACCCAGGCCCAGAGTTCAAACTCCACAACAACAACAAAAAATTCACAAGTGGAGCTATAGCTGAAGTGGTAGAGCACTAGTCAAGCAAAAATGCTCAGGGACAGTGCCCAGGCCCTGAAGTAAAGCCCCAATACACACGTAAGTGCATGTATACTCATAAAATCAGGAAAATGGGGTCTCTTCACCTACAGTCAGTAAAGAACCTCTCTATCTTCTCCTATTTCCAATAGACAGATTCTATCTCTTTCCACTTTTACTTCCAATTCCTCTTAGCAAGTCACTGAAAAATATCTCTGTCCTGGGAATGGATTTTTCTGCCCAGTGGAAGGAGTCTCAGTGCTAGTAGCCATAAAGTGACAAATAGATATAATATGGTTCCTATTCTCTCCTGGATGACCCTCAGTGCCTCTTGGCCCCTAGACCTGGCTTCCACACAGCCGCATTCCAATATTCAATTTGATCCCTCCATATTCCCAAGTATTGCTACATGATCCTCTGCTGAAACAACACATACATGAACAGAGACATCTCTATGATCCTACTCAGATCAAATCAGCTACAAGGAGATGAAATATTTGCCCCATTAAAACTACCACTGGTTCTGTTGTTCTGTCACAGAGCAGTGTGAAGAAGTCCTTTTTTCCCCTTGCATTTATTTATTTATTTTTAAATTTTAATGTCAAGGTGATGTACAGAAGGGTTACAGTTACATGATTCAGGTAACAAGTACCTTTCCTTTTAAACAGTGTCATCTCCTCCCTTATTCTCTCCAGTTTTTTCCCCTCCTGACTTCCCTCCCCCAAAACCTTGTATAGCTCATTTCCAACATATTGACTAGTGAATTTCACTGCTGAATAGGTTCACCCTTTAGACCCACCGTTTCTGTGCTTCCCCCCTTCCCCTCCCCAAATCAGATAAACTTATATACAAGACAAAGGGTTCAGAAATCTTCATTTAACGAGACTTGGTGGCTCATGCTTAAAATCCTAGCTATTCAAGAGACTGGCATGTGAGGATTGTGGTTCAAAGCCAGCACAGGGAAGAAAAGTCTCCTTGATACTCTTATCTCAAAAGCAGAAGAGTGGTAAAACACTAGCCTTGAGCACAAAAAGGCTCCAGGACAGCATCCAGACCCTGAGTTCAAGCTTCACAGCGGACAAAAATGGAGCTGTGGCTCAAGTGATGGAGTGCTAGCCTTGAGCAAAAAAGCCCAGAAACAGTGCCCACACACTGAGTTTAAGCTCCAGGACTGGTACAAAAAAAAAGGAGACATAGCAGATAGAGAAATACCAGCAAGGAGTGAGCTAAATGTGTGAAAAGAGCCAAACCAAACACAGAAATGAGTCAAAGGCAGGAAATAGGCCAGATGGATTATAGATGTGAAAAATGAGCTCTCAAGATGTTACTGAGTGCAGGGCTGGGAAGGTGGCTCAGTGGTAGAACACTTGCCTCGAGGCATGAGGCCTGGGTTCGATTCCTCAGCACCACATAAACAGAAAAACCAGAAGTGGCTCAAGTGGTAGAGTGCTAACCTTGAGCTGAAGAGCTAAGGGACAGCACCCAGGCCTAGAGTTCAGGCCCCACAACTGACAAAAAAAAAAAAGATGTTCCTGAGTGCAAAATTTAAACTATGGTCCAGAAAATAGACAACCAATCAATCTGGCCCACAAAAAGGGAGACAGCCAATCAGCAAAGCCCAACTATCCCCATAAAAGCCTGTCCTGAATCCTATACTAGCTCAACAGCAGGAAAGCAGTATGCTTCCCCTTTGCCTAGCTCCCCATTTCTTTAATGACATCTTAATCTTTGTTTTTCCCCATTTAAAGTAAAATAAAGCTGGTCACTGGTGGCCCACACCTATAATCCTGGCTACACATAAGGCTGAGAACTGAGGATCATGGTTCAAAGCTAGCACTACCAAGAAGCCAGAAGTGGCACTGTGGTTCAAGTGGTAGAGCACCAGCCTTCACTGAAAAAAGCTCAAGGACAGCATCTAGGTCCTGAATTCAAGCCTCTGTACCAGCACACAAAACAATAACAGCTAGTTCTAGTGGCTCACCTCTGTAATCCAACTACTCAAGAGGCTGAGATCATGGGGCTGGGCAGGTGGCTCAGTGGTAGAGTGCTTGCCTTGCATGCATGAGGCCCTACATAAGTACCACATAAGCAGAAAAAGCCAGAAGTGGCGATCTGGTTCAAGTGGTAGAGCACTAGCCTTGAACTGAAGAGGTGAGGGACAGCCCAGGCCCAGAATTCAGGCCCCACGACCGACCAAAAAAAAAAAAAGAGGCTGAGATCTGAAGATCACGGTTCAAAGCCAGCCCACGTAGGAAAGTCCATGAGACTCTTATCTCCAATTAACCACCAGAAAACTAAAAGTGGAGCTGTGGCCCAAAGAAGTAGAACGTTAAAAAGGTAGTAAGTAGTAGTTCTAGGAACTGGGTGTAAGCTCCAAGTCTTCATCAGTAAACATATTTCTCACAAAGCAACAGGAAATACCCTCTGATGTCATTTTTGGATTAAGCAGTGACAGTCTACCATAAAATACTTTTTTTGGGGGGAGAGGAGGGGTCTGGTCGTGGGGCCTGAACTCTGGGCCTGGGCGCTGTCCCTCACCTCTTCAGCTCAAGGCTAGCACTCTACCACTTGAGCCACAGCACCACTTGCGGCTTTTTTCTGCTTATGTGGTGTTGAGGAATCAAACCCAGGGCCTCATGCATGCAAGGCAAGCGCTCTACCAATGAGCCACCTTCCCAGCCCTACCATAAAATACTTTTTTTTTTTTTGTCCTGGAGCTTGAACTCTGGGAATGGACACTGCCCCTGAGCTTTTTGACTCAAGTCTGGTGCTCCACCAGTTGAACCACAGCGGGTAGTTAACTGGAGATGAGTCTCATGGGCTTTCCTGGCATAGAACCACAATCCTGGCTACTTTTTTTTTTTAAGTAAAATACTTTTAAGTTTCTACCACCTTTATTTCAAATATATTTGTATAAAGTCCAGTTCAGAGCCAGGCACCAGTGGCTCATGCCTGTAATCCTAGCTACTCAGGAGGCTGAGATCTGAGGAGGGGTGTTTGAAGGCAGTCCAGAAAGGACTTATCTCTAATTAACTACCAAAAAGACAGAAGTGGAGCTGTGACTCAAGTGGTAGAGCATTAGCCTTGAGCTCAAAAGTTAAAGGACAGGGCTCAGGCACTGAGTTCAAGCCCCAGGACTGACAAAAAACAAAAAAAACCCTCAGTTCAGAATGTGGAAGTTCAGTACATATTTAAAGCTCTTCTATACAGGAAGCTGTAAAGAAGAAAAGGCACAGAAATAGAAAGTGAATGGCCTAACTGCAAAACCGAAAATGAACATAAGTAACTCAGAGAACATAGAAAAGCAGCAAAAATCACCAAGCTTCGAAAAAAATGACCGTATTTTTCAAAAGTTATCAAATACAGCACTTGAAAAAAATAGGAAAGTAAGGTGTGCTTGTCAAGGTGCCCAGGACTATTATTAAACTATTTTTTTAATCTGCGTTCAAAATTAAAACGATCATATTTGGGGGAGGGAATGTCTTAAAACACGCTTCTTGACAGTTTTGATATTGAATCTGTCCAAAAAAATAGGTTAGGTCCCACATATACACAAACAGACGCTCTTGGGGGGCGATCGGAAATTAAGTTCCCGTTTCCCCTGGTCCTATAAAACCTAAAGAAGACATTTTTCAACGTGTTTTTCAAACTTCACACGGGTTGACATACGAAGAATACGTTCTGTGTCCCATCTTCTGTAACCTCATGCAAATGAAAAAGCCAAAACTCTTAACCCTGGAGATGTTAAAAAACAAAAGAAAATACAGAATCAAGGTACTACTTCCTCCTTAGTTCTTCCTGGTACAGCCAGAGGACCGTTGGAAAATACCCCCTTCACCCTGGGTCCTGGAGTCCCTGAAATCAGCCCCACCCACCCCACCGCATCCCCCCCCCAAAGGAGAGAAAATGTGGCTCCGGGAGGGAAAACAAAACCCAGAGGTGAACTCACCCAAACCTTGGAACTGAGGTCTCCCTGGGACGAGAGCAGCCCCGCGGGGCGACACCAGGAGGCTCCAGGACGCCGAGGGCTTCCGACGGGGAGCGCGGGGCGCCGGGGAGGCGGGCAGGCCGGGGTCTCCCGGGTGCCTCACCCGGGCCTCCGCAGCCGCGCGCGCAGGAAGACCCCGCGGGTCCTCCGAGGCCAGGCTCGAGGGGGCGTCCCCTCCCCAGGCCCAGCCAGCCCGCCGCAGCCCTCGGGGCGGGGGGGGGGAACCCCGCCCCTGAGGGCTCCACGGACGCCGCGCCTTCCGTCCAGCGAGAGCTGTACCCCGGCGGGAGCCCAAGACCACCCGGACCGCCGCCGCCGCCGCTTCAAATCCCTGGCAGAACGCGGACGCGGGGACTCTTCACCCTCCGGTCCCTTCGTCTACGTGCAGATTCAAGCGTTCGCACCCACCAGCTACCACCTTCCCCACAGACACAAGACCGCCGGGAGGCCAGACCCACCCGCTCGGCCTGCCCAGCCCAGACAGCGCGCGCCCGCTCGCCTGCGCGAGTGAAATACACACGGCCGGAGCTCCTAGGGGAGGCCGCGGCCGCCGCCCCGCGCACCCTCAATCGGGGTTCTCCCGAGCCAATGGGAAGTGCCCGGCCTTCCCAAAGGCGGGGTAGGGGCGTGGCCACGACCCAAGGCGGGGGGTAGGGGCGTGGCTAATTCCACAAGGGGCGAGCCATATTCTCCCGAGACCAATGGGAAGCACCCAACCTTCCCAAGGCAGCTGGGGAGCGTGGCAAAAAACCCGCGGCCAAGGGGTGTGGCTAAGGGACCTGGCGGGGTGGGGGTGGGGTTAAGACCCAGGGACGCTCCGCTTTCACCGGGCCTGCGCACAACCGGGAACTCGGAGGTCCGCGCGTCTGCGTCAGTTACGCGAAGCAACGAGGAAGGTGGGGTCGTCGCCTTCCTCGGCCGGAGGAACTGGGGAGCTGAGGCTGGGACGGCCCGGAAAATGAGGGGGCTGGGTTCTGGGCGGCGCCGGCTCCGCCACGGGGCGAGGCTACCCGAGGAGGCGCCCGCCGCCACGTCCCGCCATCCTCGAGACTGTGGGCCTCGGGGCCTCCAGACATGAGCGAAGTGAAGAGCCGCAGGAAGCCCGGGCCCAAGGCAGCCGCGTCGGAGCCCGCGAAGCGGAGCGAGGGCGGGAAGAGCCCCGCGGCCCGGGGCGGCGGAGGCGGGGGCTGGGCCGACCCCCGGACGGGGCTGAGCCTGCTGTCGCTGGGGACCTGCCTGGGCCTGGCCTGGTAAGTGCCCCGGGGGCCTCGCGTCGCCGCCCCTGCCGGAGCCCCCGCGGGCGGGACATCCCGCCGGCCGCCCACCCGCGACTTGCCCACCTCGGCTCCCGCCTGCGCGGCGTTGTCGACCGTTACCTCCACGTCCCACGCCGCGGGGGACCGGGACCCGCTGGCCCACCCCGCCCGCCCCTGCTGCGAACGTTTGCCGCCCTGAAAGAGTCCAGGCCACGAATGCTATGAGGACAGAGTTTGGTAGTCTGCTCCTAATGTGATATTTCTCTTTAGTATAACGGCTCTAACTGAGCCTCCCCAGTAGCTAGGATTACAAGCATGAGCCACCCAGGCCTGGCTAGCTCCGTATTATTAATTTTTTTTTGGTAAGTTAAAACATTTGTTGTTTTAAAATAAAAAGGTTGGGAATGTGGCTTAGGGGTACAGTGCTTGCCCAGCATGCATGAAGCCCTGGGTTCCATTCCTCAGTACCATATAAACAGAAAAAGCCAGGCATGGCACTGTGGGTCAAGTGGTAATGGTGCTTGAGTAAAAAGCAGCTCAGGAGCAGTGTCTAGGCCTTGTCAAGCCCCAGGATTGAAAAAAAGAAAAATCTTGTTACAATAAAGTGAAATGTGAATTCTTAAGGGTTTTCTTCAAAAAGAAAAAGAATGGTGGTTCTGTGTGATGAATCTTTCAATTTGACCTGAAAAGAATTTATGTACAGGGCTTGCGTACTATTTGAAATAAGCCTCTCCTAGTCGGATACTGCTGCTTTTACTTGATGGGATCCACAACACAGAAAATAACAAACTACTCAAAACTTAAAATGCATTATATTTTTAGGTCAATAAAAAAAATAGCTTGAGGGCTGGGAAGGTGGCTCAGTGGTAGAGCGCTTGCCTTGCATGCTTGAAGCCCTGGGTTCAATTCCTCAGCACCACATAAGCAAAAAGAAAAAAA